GTGTGTTTTTTAAAACCTGAACATTTTATTTAACTACTTTTGTGTAGTTCGTCTTAAAAAAAAACTTACAATTAATCTGGTCAAAAAGAATATTGAATATAGTCCATCTCAAAATGATGGTTTTGTTAAATTAATAATATTTACGTAGCTCTTAAACCTACCATATTAGTTCTTTCGAGTGTTTCTACCCAACTCGTGACCTTTTTTTCAGAACTTTTTTTTTCTGGCTTGAGAATAAATGATTTTTTTTTGGTAATATGGAGTTCTAGAAGAAACCGAAAGCTATTTGGAAGAGAAAATTGGAGGTGTAAATGCAAGTTTGGAATGTTTGACTTTATGATTCGATGTTGCGTAGCGGTAGCTGTTGAGAAGTTGAGAAATTAATCCTTTTTGGTCCCCATCCCCATCGATAAAGCCGAAGATGATTTCCGAAACTCTTTCCAAACACTTGGAATTTTATTGCATTTGACACTTGTAAAGTTATGTCATATCCAAAATATAATAACAGCCCAATTAAATATTAATGGATTAAAAGAAAAGATTTGGGATATATTCAAACTGCTCCTTAAATACTCGGGTTTTGCTTTGTTTCAGTTCATAAATTATCACATCGAGAACAAAACATGGCCGAGTCAATTTGTTTCAGTTCAACTTTGATCAACTCTAACATATAGTTTGTTGGGCATGGGCTTTATACTTGACAAATTATAAAGCCCATCTCGCCGAACTCGGTCCGGTATAGTTAAGAGCCCAATTCAAGTCCCAAAGGAAACCCTACATTAATGTACATCTTCAATCTAGTATAAATAGGGTTTCCGCCGGAATCGTACAAAAATTTGTTAGAAAACGGTTTGCAGAGTTCGTACGTATCCCGATGACATACCACTTATCACCCAGTTCCCGATCTCACTTACTTATCACTCAGTCTTTGACCTCAGAAAACCGATCACACCGATCTCGTTACTCAGTAAATTCGCGAAGCACAAGGTTCGTCAGCTTATAAACTCCCGAGCTCAACATCCTTTACATTCATTACTCCTTATTTGTATGCCGCTTGTAACCCATTTCTGAGCACGTTATCAATAAACGAGAATTTTACAAGCCTCTTACTGTTTAATAAATATATTTTCGAACTCACGTATCAAAAGTTCATAAGATGCGTGAAGATTCTTTCTCAAAGTGGAAAAAGTTTGTATTCACGTGAATCAAAAAGCTCCTGTTTGTGTTGAGTTTGTCGACAACATAAGGGAATCAAGGTAAAATACAAATTCTTCATGTCGAGAGCTTGCAAAAAGGCGATAAGAGTTCCTTGATGTGAACAAGTATGAAGGTAGGTACTGTTGAAACAGAAGGTAGGCCCTCAAATATACGTTTCATGGTAATGTTCAAAAAGATTTTTGGTGGATCGTGATCTAGTACGTGAGAGAAGTTTGGCTGCGAGTTAGAAGAGGGTCCTTGGAGACAGAAAAGGATTTGTAAGTGAACAGCGAAGAGACCTTATGGTGTGTTTGTGTGTCAGGAGTTGTGGGAAAGGCGTCATGGAGCTTATAGCTGCAATGTTATATTATAGCTGCAACCTTCTTCGATATGTGGCTTCAGTTCTGAATTTCAGTTGTTTTTTATTGGGTTAAACTGCCTTGTTAAGGTCTGATGCAATAAGGCTATAAGGTTGGTGTCTGGGTGCTCCGTTTAAACAGACAGGAAAAAAATATCACAGGTTTGTGAGCCAAGAAGAGATATAGCTACTTGATGAGAAAAGGGCAGAAGCTGAAGCAAGATGTTGTTTCTGATTGGTTGGTGAAGAAATTGTCATAAGCTTGGGGTGAGGTGAACTGGTTCAAGGAAATCATGGATTGGAATATTGACTCAAGGTTGTGAAGATCAGAATAGCGTGGAAACATTTGGCATGCATCCGCAGCAGACCACAAGAAGTGTGAATCTAATCTTGAAAGTTGTTGAAACATAGACAAGGCTCAAGGGAAAATAAATTGTTGAAATCATATAAGTTGTCTCATTTGTTTTTGCACGTTTGTTCCTTTCAACTTATATGTATTCATTTGTCTTAAGGTGCCCACTGATGTGGGAAACGTTGCATGTTCAGTGACCTAACTACCAGAACATGAGAAATCAAGTGAGACTGCATCAGGAACAAATGCTTCAACTCTAATCAAGTGAGACTGCATCAAGAACAACAGCTGCATCGAGACTGACCCGTAAAACACTGCAGCGGTAAAGCATTTGTCCCGAGAAAAGGCGTTTGATTCTTCCAATGTTTGATTGAAAACCTGCAAAATCAAAATGAATTGAAAACCTGCAAAGAAGTAAAACAGATTCAGAGAGATGTCTGCAGCTACTAAGTACGAACGTTTCTTTTTGGCAGTTTTAGCCTCCTCCGTATGACCCAGCCTTTCTTTTGAGAGTTCTGCAGCTGATTATGCAAAAAAATGAAAGTTCTTCAAGCAGCAAAACAAAGTTCAAAAACAAACTAGAAAAGGTCAAAAGATTATTTGCAATATACCTTTTGTCCTGTCTTTGTCATGATGATCTTCCTTGTGCGACGATACTTGAGTTGGCTGAAAATAATAACTAATTTAATCAGAGTTATACAAAAAAAATCCAGAATCTAAGAGAGAGAGAGACATTGATGTTTATCAATCAAGAACCAAACTTTTTCCAACCAACCGTTTTTCTGTTCATGAGTCGTCTCCCCGAGACGTGCTTGAACGACGGAGCCGGAGTTGTAATCTGGTAAGCCCTTTTCCTGTTCATGAGTCGCCTCCCCGAGACGTTCTTGAACGACGGAGCCGGAGAAGAATTTACGATTCGTC